AGCCATGCGGAAGCGCTCCCACAGTGACTTGTACGAGGTGGTCTGCAGAAGGCCCGAAGACGAAGTGGGCGAGAAGGAAGCTTAGCCAAGCGATAGGATAGCAGCGGCCATAGCCACCATAGTTGATAGGAAAGAGAGTGGCGTGTGTGAGTGTGCGAGTGTACAGTGTGTTGTGTGTGGGATATCCAAGGTGATCCTGTGTGCGGACAGCAGTGTTGAGCAAGTGACGAACAGAGAGTTGTACAGGCGCTGATGCTCCAGAGCCATCTGAAGTGAAATTGTATCTGAACTGTGTTCCGGGTTTCCATATCACTGAGTTTGAAGTGGGCGCTTGTCGGCAGTTTGCTGCGCAACCTGTTTTATGCATGTGAAGGGTGAATGGAAGCGAGTCTGATTGCACTGGTATCGGAGCTGGTACCCGCTATCCCATGCGCCATCTCCGTTGCAGCAGGAGAGAGACGCGCGCCGTAGGGCACCATAGTTGAGGAGCGCTGTTGAAGAAGGAAGTCCGCCATAGCTTCGCTGCGGAAGAGGGTGCCGTGTACCTGCAAGGAAGACAACGCCGAAGAAAACAAAGAGAGAGAGGGAGAGAGAGAGAGGGAGAGAGAGAGAGAGAGAATTAAGCGATACAAGATTGGTTTACCACGTACCTGCGCTGAAGATATTCTCCTGAAGAGAGAGAGGGAGTAACGTAATATTAGTTGTGCGGTCCAAGACGAAGTAGCGGCCATAGCCGCGAAGCTCATGACATGGAGGAGAGAGGAAGGTGAAGTAGAGAAGGGGGGTGAGATCGGAGAGGAAGAAGGAAGGAGGGACAACGAAGTGGAAGGAAAACAGTGGGGGTGAACAAAAATAAAATAAAATGAGAACGGGCGAGAAAGAAGAAAGGTGGAGGAGGAAGAGAAGGGAGGTTGGCGAGGAAGAAGGTGCCGACAGCGATAGCCGACCTAGAGGTTGACTGGGCGTTGACCAAAGGGTTGACCGAGTGTTGACCGAGGAGTTGACCGAAGCTGTTGACCTCGATTTTGACCAAGCTGGAGTCGGTATAATCTCGCCAAGCCCTTAGCCTATCCCCTCGCCCTATGGATGTGCACTCGCCCTATGGTACTTGCTGAGCCTGAGTCTGTCTATCTCTTCTTTCTGCATTGAGTCTCTTCTGTCCAGGTGATAGGACTCCGTGTATGAAGGATAGGGCCTCGTTGACCAAACCCACACGGGCTGAGTAGGGCTAAAGACTGTGTCTGACGACTCGACTGTCCCGGAGGACACGGACCCTCGCAAGGACCGGTACTGACAGGCGGGCACGGTAGGCCCAAAATCCAAGTTGTGGGCTGCACAATGGGCCATCTAAGTCTTGAGAGGATCCGCTGACCTCGTCGTCCTGTTTGCGACGTTAAAGAATTCCTAAGGAGTTATGGGGGATCTCCTTAAATGCCTCCTGATCAGCAACAGATCCTGTAGTGACGACTGTAGTATTAGAGTCTAGGCTAGAGACCATAGTTGACAGGGTTCCATACGGATCCTGTGGTCCATAGACTGAGTAAGTCTTAAGTAAGTCTGTCACGGGGGACGTCTAAGTGGTGAGGAGCGGAACCGTCACTTGGTTGTGCGTCTGTCACCATGGTAGACATGCGTACAGGAACGAGCACCTCCCCTTATACAAGAAAGCAGGATGCGAAGGCCGCCGCCATCTTGAAAGAGAGAAGAGAGAAGGAGGCCAAGAAGAAGGCCTTGACAGAAGAACAAGCGGCGAAGTTGAAGAACATTGAGGAGGAGATGGCCAAAGAAAAAGAGAGGTTAAAGAAAGAAGAGAAGAGAAGCTCAAGGCGGTAGAAGAGAAGGAAGAGGTAGAAGAACCGCCACTGGAAAGGCAAATGTGAGGATTGAGCCCTCAAGAAGGGGCCTTGCCATGATGTACATGTTATGGGCTAAGGCCCCAGCAAGCCTCGTGCCCGCCCTAAGTGAAGGCGGGCCAGCAAATCAACAAGAGCCCTATGTGCAAACATTTCACGAAGTGGGGTCCATACAGTTGCAGCACGCCAATTGGTTGGAGTGCACCGAGTCTCGAATCTCTGCAAATGTGGAAATCCCAGGGCCTCTGAGTTAGTTAGGCCCTGGGCACTTGAACGTGACGCCGACAATGCATGCTGGGTATAGAGGCCGAAAACGCCAAAGGGAAATCGGCCCACTATCTGAATCTGGCCGCAGGCCTTGACAAAAGAGGCACAACTGCATCACCCGGGCCCCAACTGCATCGGGCCTGGGTTAATTCTCTGGGGCCCAGTCGCAGGCTGAAGGGAGGCCGCCCACACGCAACACTGGCATATAGGCAAGCAGGGCGAGTGGGCAGGGATCTTTGGCAAATGCAGGCATTGCCGGCAGGCTGCGCGAATGCGAGCTGCTGCGCCGTGTAAAGCTGCGTTGGGTAGAGGGAGACAGACAACACTAATGCGGTGGTGCGCTGTCTGGGCGCAGGGCGGTGTCAGCCATAGCCAGGCTGCATGAGGGCGCAGGGCAGGTGAGGGCGAAGGTGGTTCTTCGGAGGTGAAGGGCGCTGTGTGGGTAACAAGGGAGAGTGTGGGTGAAGAGGACACGTATCTGGTGGAGGTGGAGGTCGGCATTGGTGTTGACATCATCACTCGCTGGTAGTCAAGTTGTCTGGTTGCTTTCATTGCTGTAGTTGTAGGCTTAGGCTGTAGAGTAGATAGGGCGTTGGGTTATGCTGTTGGTGTTGCCCTGTTGGGCTTGGACATTGACTCACCATTCTTCTGTATCATTCTCAAATGGATGGTTACTCGGTTCCATTGTGCTATCTGCTCTGGCTTTGACTACTTGGACTTCAGTGTGATTTTGCAATCTGGATTTCTGTGCGTCGTCCGTATTCATATTCCTTGCAATTTGGTATCAGAGCCGGCATGATTCGCCACTTACCTTTGGCACGCTGGCGTTATACAGACTTGGTGCGTTGACGATGCTTCTTCGCAGTTGGTCCTTGTGACGTCAGGCCACCTAGGCGCACACCCTGGGTAGAGAGGGGTGCGCCAGAAGGCTAAGACGGCAGTGTATGCCGTGGTGACGGACAGAATGTATGATTGGTGATGAGAGCATGCTGATGTGGCATTAGGCTGAGGTGGCACTGCATTGCGTTGTGGGTGGTACCGAGGCCAAGGACCGGGCATCAAATGCACACTAAGCTCAATTGGTGAGAAATCTGTGGTTGGGGGCAGCTATCTCCACGTACGTTGTTCCCTTACCTTATCTACTCTCTCAATCTCTTCTTACTGTGAGGAAGTGAGTCCAACTTGAGAGTCCTCTCTTTTGGTGAGGTGTCGTGAGCGCGCTACCTTGAGAGACGACAATCTTCCCGGAAGCATCTGGAAGGAGAAAGGGCGGTGCCTCTGAAGGGCCCTGGTCGAAGCACTGGGTCACGGTCACCATGCCAACCCAATGGGAGTAGGTCACGCATGCAATGGCAGCTGTCCATTTTGCCACTTGCTGCGCTAAATAGAAGTCATGCCGGGTGTGCCAACCTTTTATGAGACGCTTACCAGACCGTCTATAAACATTTCTGGTTGGGGACTTGGTTGATTCTGGCTGTGATCGTCGTCCTGACTGCAACGTTAAAGAATTCCTGAAGAGATGGGGGCGCTCGATAAATTCCTCCTGATCAGCCAGATCACATGGACAGGAAGGCTCGTCGCCGTACGAGGGTAAATAAGAGTGGTTGGGCTGGCTTGCTCGGTAACGACTTGGGCACAGGGGTGGGCCGACAACACACGAAGACACCGCTTGCTCATTGATGCTGTCCGGTATGTTGGATTGGGGGGAGGTTAGGTTCTAATTGGTGCTCAACTGGAAACACAACCATACCCATCAATCATACATCTGCAACATGGTTTTTTGTATTCTTGATTAGTTGGTGGACAGACTGCTAACACCTCACAGACAGATTAGATTAGGACTGTTGTATGCTACCATAGCCAGTAGTAGAATAAGCAATAACCCTTTTTAAATCATTTTGTAAAGTTGTTTATGTAGGAGCTATAGCTGTTCTATTTTTATTTGTGGTTATGATGCTAAATATAAAGTTAGCAGAAATTCACGAAAATGCATTACGTTATTTGCCTGTAGGTGGTATTATTGGACTTATCTTTTTGCTGGAAATAAGACGGAGCCTACGACCGGACTTGAACCCGAGGCCTTTCCCTTACCAAGGGAATGCTCTACCACCTGAGCTACGTAGGCTTACGGGGAAATTGGAGACGATCGGACTTGAACCGATAACTTCATACTTGCAAAACATGCTTGCTGCTGTAAGTGAACTCATCAGGATACACATAGACTATATTGACAATCTGTTGGGAATGTTGTAGACATGCCACTTGATCGGTACAATAGGGAACCTGCCGGACACAACTATTTTTAGAAAATTAGGTGTCGGTCAGACACATGCTGTGGTAGGACTCCACTAGGGGGTTCTAGTGCAGATAATGTTTGCCTAATTGATGAACGGGTCAGACGTTGATGAGGAGAGAGTTGACGATGCTAGACTAACACGTGCGATATCAAGTAGGATCCCGCATGTGTTCCATACCTTGCAACCGGAAGACGAAAGACGGCTTCGTGCCGAACGCAGAGCCCGTGCACTAGCAGCAGCTAGGGAAGCAGCAAACGCCGCAGCTAGGGAACAGGCTGCAGCAGCAGTCAGGGCAGCAGCCATGACTAGTTCAGCAGCATCCTCTGCTGCGTTGTCTGGGACCAATGGGACCCAGTTGGGAATGCCAACAGGGTCCACGGGTACTTCCAGTTCGTTGGGTTCTCGTCAATCTACAAGTCAAATGGCGGGCTCGCAGTTCAGCCCGTTGACTCCTCGCGAAATGGAGCTCAGGGAGCTCCAGTAGGTCGAAAGGATCCGTGAACAGTTAGAGAGGGACCTGAAGAAAGCAACCGATAGAGAAAGAGAGATTAACATTAGAACAGCCAGGCTTGATACTTTAGAGGCTGACAAAGCAGAGTTAGAAGGCTTGGATGAGTCAGCATTGTCTGACCAAATGAAAGTACTGAAGAACAATATGTTGTCGTTGCATGCGCACGTGGACAGCAGATTGGACTTCATGCAGAGCACTCTTGACCAGATCCTAGACGTTCTGACAAGGCCAGGATTTAGGCCTCCAGCACAGTCGTCGTTGCCGTTAACGGCGATGTCAGGCCCCTTTCCAGTACAAGTTGGCCCACAGCCAAGTGGCACGTCTGCAGCAGCCGCACAGACTGCTGCATCTTCTTCTTCGGGTCCAGCGGTGGTTGCTACACCACAGCAACAATCTGTTCCGCAACAGGGACAGCCGCAGGGTCAATGGTTTCCTAAGACCCCAATGAAACCGCCTATTGCCTTCTCAGGCGAGAGAAAGGACGAAGAACTCAACACTTGGTTGAGAACAGTCCCGGTTTGGGTGAAGGCAAAGAGGACCTTGCTGGAGGACGAAGTGGTTACTGCTGCATCTTACCTTGAGGGTAAGGCAGCCAAATGGCTAGATGGTGTAGTTGTGAAGGCCGGGTACGGACGACGTATGGCGGACTGGGCTAAGTCACTTACGTTAGACCAGTTCATGAAGATGGTAGAAACTCGATGGCATAATCCACAGGAGGCACAAAGAGCCACTGATGCGATCAATAGACTAGACCAACGAAAATTCAAGTCGGTCAGAGAGCTTACGACTACCGTGGAGAGCTTGATCCTCGTCCCTGGCATCAACTACAGTGACCAGTTCCTGTTAACTACGTTTGTTAGATGTCTTCCAGAAAACATCAGGAACTTATTGGCCAGCGAGGCCCGCCTCGAGTACCATTCGTTCGAAACATTGTCTAGGAAAGCCTTAGATTTGGAGGCCACTCTAAGCAATGCTCAACCCTCTCAGAATGACACGAAGAAGAGGAAGAGTCCGCAGGAGTGGAAGAAGAAAGGGGCCAAGTTGATGATGGTCGAGCCCGATGGGACTCAAACAGAGTTCGATGAGCTCACCGACCTGCTGGACACTTCAGAGTACGATGACGAGGAGTTGGCTGAGGGTAGCACCCTCGCCGCAATAGTTAAGGCTGAGGATGGTGGCCGAGTGAAGGGCCAACCAAAGAGTCAAGGGAAGGCCGCCTCCAATCACACCAAAGTGGCTGATTGGGTGAAGGCAGGTCTTGATCAAGAAGTGTGGCGGGACCGCCGAGTGCGTGGTGCTTGTATCAACTGTGGTGAATACGGACACACCCAGTACAAGTGCCCGAACGCTAAGGTCACGCAGAAGATACCTCCTAAGATGGGGGCATCTTCTTCCCAGGCTTTTAGCTCGGGAAACAAATGAGGCCGGTGGAAGTTTTAGTTGCTTCTACTCAAGATGAAGTGGGCCTGATACCCTCCCCACTTCATGAGCAGGCCGAAGCTAACGACTCTTTAGTCACCTCGCAGATTCATCTAGACCAAACTATGCTCTGTACGTTAGATGTGTCTGAAGCCTTAGAAGACTTGGAGAGTGAGTGGTCAAACAAGGACCCTCGCGAGTCTTGGGTGGCGCATGGGAAAGGTCCTAGAGGGGAACATTTCGTGGTGGAAGTCGATGTAGGAGGCCGCAAATGTGGTGCCTTCATAGACATAGGCTCCACGTGGAATTACATAAGTCGCGACTGTTTGGAAAGGCTGCACCTACAGGACCGGGTAAGGCACCTTAGTAGACCTGTAGCATCTACTTTGGCCAACAAGGAGCGCATGATTGTAACAGACTATATCAAGGACGTAGTCTGTACCTTCTCCTATGGAGGAGGAGAACTTAATCATAAGATTTCGTTCTTGGTTAGCGACGACTTATCATTTGACATGTTGTTAGGCATGTACTACCTTGAGGTTGCTAAGCCCCAGTTTGACTGGGATAAGAAGGTGCTAAAGCATTAGTTGCCTGATGGTAGAACAGTCGGATTGACTAAGTTCAAAACCAGTGGCATATAGATACCTATGGCTGCTTGTGCGCATCAGCGTTCTACAACTATTATAAGTAGAATCGAGAGGAAGGTATGTACCTAGTGTATGTCTCTGAAAAGGGGAGGTCGTTAAAACACCCCCAGAGATAGAACGCGTCGTTGCTAAGTTCCCTGATCTGTTCGAAGAGCCTACAGGGGTCGTAGAAAGGGAAGTTGTCCATGCTATAGAAATCATTTCAGGGAGTAAAACCCCAAAGGGAAGGATCTATAGGATGGCTCCCGCCGAGTTAGATGAACTCCGGCGACAACTGAAAGAGCTGACAGAGAAGGGATGGATTCGGCTAGTACTTCCCCTTACGGATCTCCCATGCTTTTCGTACCTAAGAAGGGGGGTACATTGAGGATGTGCATTTACCATAGAGGCCTCAATGCCATCATAGTGAAGAACGCCGAGCCTCTACCTCGCATAGACGACCTATTGGATAGGGTGCAGGGATGCAAGTACTATACAAAGATAGACTTGAAATCCGGCTATCATCAGATCTCTATAAGACCTGAAGACCAACACAAGACAACTTTTCAGACACATTATGGTCTGTATGAGTTTGTAGTGATGCCGTTTGGTCTTTGCAATGCGCCAGGAACGTTCCAGCACGCTATGAATCGGATTTTCCATGACCATTTAGATGAGTTCGTGCTCTACCTAGACGACATTCTGATCTTTAGTAAGTCTGCCGAGGAGCATGCACAACATGTCGAAAAGGTACTTTCACTCCTTCAACAACACAAGTATAAGGTCAACTTAGAGAAGTGTGAATTCGGTTGCACTAAGATATTATACTTGGGTCATGAAGTATTCGCGGAAGGGATTAGGCCGGAAGATGCGAAGGTGGCTAGTATACGCGACTGGCCACGAGCTCAGACAGTCACTGAGGTCAGATCTTTCTTAGGAATGTGCGGCTATTATAGGAACTTCGTCAAGAACTATTCTACGGTCGCCTCTCCTTTGGCTGATCTAACTCGACTTGACACGCCGTGGGACTGGAGTGATGAGTGCGAGGGTGCTTTCAAGAGATTGAAGCATGCACTCATGAATCATGAGGTCCTCATGGTTCCCGATCCTCAGAAGCCATTCATAGTGACCACTGACGCAAGCCAATACGGCATTGGCGCAGTGCTGGCTCAACAGGATGGGAAAAAGTTGAGACCGATTGAGTACATGAGCAAGAAGATGCCATCAAAGAAATTGGCAAAGTCCACCTGCGAAAGGGAACTCTATGCTCTATATAAAGCACTTGTCCATTGGAGACACTTCCTATTGGGAAGGTTCTTCTACTTGAGGACTGATCATCCGACCCTCAAATGGATCAAGACTCAACCGGCTCTTTCTGATGCACTCAAGCGATGGATTGAGGTCATAGATCAATATGACTTCAAGCTTGAGTATCTGAAGGGAGAGTACAATAAGGTTGCAGATGCGCTATCACGTAGGGCAGACTACCTACGTGCGCTAGTTTCCGACTTTGGTGTATCTGATGAAGTAACTCAATCGTTGGTGGGAGCCTATCAGGAAGACCCTGTCACAATGGATATCATTCGCAAACTTCAGGCAAAAGACAAGGCCACAAAGAGTGAGTTTGTGATGGTGGACGGGCTTCTCTATCTTGATAAGGCCGGAATAAAAAGATTAGTAATTCCATCTAGTGAACGTTTGCGTAATTTATTTCGAGGAGAATGCCATGACGCAACCGGGCACTTTGGCTACAAGAAGACGAGTGCTAATCTAGTACAACGACTTTGGTGGCCTAGAATGTTAGATGATGCAAAGAAGTACGTAGAGACCTGTCAGGTCTGTCAGCGGGACAAGCAGCGAACTCAAGCACCGCTTGGGTTGTTGAGGCCCTTACCTATCCCCACTCGTCCAGGACAGAGTGTTTCCGTGGATTTCATGGACACCCTGGTGACCAGCAAGAGTGGCAAGAGGCACATATTTGTCATCATCGATCGATTCACCAAGTACGCTAGACTAGTTGCAATGTCAGAGACCGCAAGGACTGACCATGTCATCAAGTTGTTCAAGGACAACTGGGTGCGTGGCTTTGGTTTACCAAAGACCATCGTTAGTGACAGAGATGTCCGCTTCACAAGTGTGCTATGGAAGAAGACTGCTGAACAGATGGGCAGTCGACTTCAGATGACTTCAGGGAATCATCCTGAAGCCAACGGACAAGCCGAACAAATGAATAGAGTTGTACAACACTTGCTGAGGCATTACATCAAGCCCAACCAGGATGACTGGGATGAGCAATCGCCTCTCATCGCCAGCCTGTACAACAATGTTGTACACAGCAGTACCGGCGTTATTCCTAACCAGCTTCACTTGGGATGGAAGCCTAGATCCGCCCTAGACTTCCTCCTACCTGAAAACCGACCCGCTGCAACTCCAGGCACACTCGAATATGGTGTGCAGTATGAGAAGTTGCTGCAAGAAGCTGTCAAGCATATGAAGAAAGCTTAGCAAGCAATGATTGCTTCTGAGAATCAACATCGTAGACAGTCCTCATTTCAGGTAGGGGAACGAGTCTGGGTCAAGGCTAGTGAGCTAGGACAAGAATTC